ATTTTCACCTGCGGGGACATTTAAAATCTATTGTACACGCGACATGGATTGAAAATGCTGAAATACCACGAAATAGAATAGAGCAAGGCTTCCGACAAATTCGAGGAACCACCAGGAACGATAGAGTAACCAGATGGATGACAAGACGCGTGCAAGGTGGTAATTTTCGAGCATCTTTTGTAAAAGTAATTAAAATAAGAAAATTCATTGTATCTCGTAAACGAAGACAGATAGGACATATATTTCTATGACGTTTTTTTTTCATTATTTTTAGGCGTACAATCAGCTTCCCAAGTGGGCGCCACAAGTTACGAAACACCCTTGTATACGCCTCATTTCCGTCTCTTCATTTGCCTTTGTAATAAATTTTTTAAATTGTAGAACAGGGTAAAGAGACTTTACCCCGTACTCTGTGAGAAATGCACGCTGACGAACAATTTCGTCGTTCTCAGGAATTCGTTTCGTCGAATGTACCGTGTGTACAAACCTGAATGGTGACCGAGCTCGACTGAGCGCCGAGCACCGTCACCACCCGATCCAATTCCCCGTCCAAGAACTTTGCCACGCTCCGATCCTCGCAGCGGTAGCCCTCCTCGCCGAGTCGATTGCCACGCGCCATGAAACCTGTGCCAGAACAGAAAAACGACGGCTGGCTGGATCGTTGGAGAACGTAGAAACTAGATCGCGAGCTGATCTCCCTTAGAGCGAGCTTCTTGTTACCCTTGACGAAGTAAAACGCTTGCTGCAGCGCGTAGGTCGGGTTGTCGCAGGTGTCGAACGCCAGCGCGCCCAGTCGTACGCCCGCCAGTATCCTCGGATCTTCGTTGACGCGCTCGATCGTGTACAGCATCGCTTCCAGCGGTTGAATCCCGTCTTCGGTCTGCGCGTAACAAACGTTGCAACGTTGGTTGCAACGTTGATCGTGTTGCACCGCCGCCAGAATTCTCCTGATCGACTCGTTTACCTGAATTTCGCCGCAGCTGTTGCCGTCGTTGCCCTTACGATGCACGGGGAACAGCCCTCCCAGCAACAGATCGCCCGTCACGTTCGCGTACCAGACTTCGCCGTGCCTGGTGCTGGTGCGCTGAACGTTGGACGAGACTGCGATCGCCAACAGGTTTGTCGTCCACAGCAGCCGAATCGCAAAACCGATCACTGTCGTCGTCGTCGTCGTCGTCGTCGTCGTCGTCGTTGCCATCGCGACGTCTTTTTTTTTTTTTGTCTCTTCTCGTTCCACGTGGTTGCGAAACGACAAAGAACACCAACGAGACGTCGACAACGACACGTGTTGGAAAATCAGCGGATATCCTCCGGCTACTCAATCCGCGATCCGTCCGACTAGATGAGGTCTGACCTCTCGGGAGGCCGGCAGCGATACGAGACACTCGCGATTCGCGATGGGAGCAAGGAGTGGCCGATCTCCAGGAAAAACGGAAATCGATCGAGAGGTTTAGGTTACGGGGGAATGACGTTGGGCAAGGTGGAGCGCAAACAAATCGGAAAGCGAGGGAAGGAACATCGTGTGGGTAAACATCGCTGGAAAAGTCAGCAAAGAGCAATCTCGTTAAACGCGGGGGGCAGGGGTACGCCTGTGTGGTACGCGTCGCGGTTTCCAACTCTTTCTACGAGCAACGGCACGAGCACGAGCACCACAGCAAGAGCAGCACAGCCACACGAGGACGAGGACGAGGTCGAGGAAGAGGAAGAGAAGAGGAAGTTAACAGAGGCGACGGAGGAAGCGGGAGTGGGAACGATAACGATGGAATCTCCAATTATTCAATCGTCTGTCCGAGCTGGTCCGTTTAACCGCATCGCACTCCTCGTCGGCTCCCCGACGTTAGAAGCGAACCGTTTCGAGAACGAGCCGGCCACGCTCTCGCGCGCGCGACTTTTCCTTTTTGGCTGGAAAGAATCGAGCCAAACGAAAGAAAGAAAGAAAGAGAGAGAGAGAGAGAGAGAGAGAAAGAAGGAGAAAAACTTTGGAGAGAAGCTTCGGAGGAAGAGCGAAAGGTGCCATGGACGAGAGTGGCGACGGTACGACGCGGAGATCGTTCGACGCGATCGATTGTGCCGTGTTTGCGGGAATGCTCGCCGTTTCGGCCATCATCGGCGTCTATCAGGCGTACAAGTCGCGAAAAAACGAAGACGCGGTCCGAGAGTACCTGGTCGGCGGACAGGCCATGTCCATCTTTCCTATAACGATGTCCTTGATAGCCAGGTAATATCCGCACGAAATTGCCATTCCTTCTTCCCCCCCCCCCCTGGAAATCACTTTTTATCACTCTTTGTTCTTCCCTCTCTCAACCTACGTTTTCTTCTGGCTCTCTTCTTCAGCTACATATCCGGGATAACGATCCTCGGCCTACCAGCCGAGATGTACGTCTACGGGACGCAGTTCTGGAGCGTCGTGATTGCCGACTCGTTTGTCTCGTTGACGATGATCGTCGTCTATCTGCCGGTGTTTTACGGCCTTGGCATCACTTCGTCTTACGAGGTAAGCCTCTTATACTCTCACCTTCTTTCTTTCTTTCCCTTTCGTTCGACAATTCTTTCGCTCGTCTTTGCAGTATCTCAAACTAAGGTTCAACGGCGCCGTTCGACTCTTGGGTTCCGTCATATTTCTCCTGAAAATGGCAAGTAGACAATAGATGTAATGAAAGAGAGAGACAGAGAGAGAGAGAGAGAGAGAGAGAGAACGAATTAAACTCAAACGATCTACGCTTTGTTCCAGCTGCTGTACATCCCGCTCGTCATATACGTTCCCGCGCTGGCGTTCAATCAAGTCACCGGGATAAATCTACACGCGATCGCGGTGTTGGTCTGCGTCGTTTGCATATTTTATACCACTCTGGTAAGCGTGAGAAATTATTTCCCATTTATTTCCCCTTTTTTTTAATCGCCCCACTGCTCCCTCGCGACGCTTCTCGTTCACCGACCACCAACCAAACGTTTCTCCCCTCTTCTCCCCGTAATTTTCAGGGTGGCTTGAAGGCGGTTGTTTGGACCGACGCCGTTCAGACGATCGTCATGTTTGGCGGAGTGATAGCGATAGCGGCGATCGGGACGAACCAGGTCGGCGGGTTCCAAGAAGTTTGGAAGAGAAATCGCGACACCGATCGGATCGAGTTCTTCGAGTAAGAGTTCTCCGCTTCTACCGAATCTCTCGCGTATCGCTTACCCCCCCCCCCCCCCGGTTCTTCGTTTCATCCTTCGTTTCCTATTGCCCTGTGTATCGATTTAGCATGGATTTAGATCCGACGGCGAGGCACACCTTCTGGACGGTCGTCGTCGGCAACTACTTCAGCTGGTTGGCAAGTTGCTCTGTGAATCAAGCGATGGTACAACGATGCTTGGCCATGCCCAACTTGAACAAGGCCAACATGTGAGTTTCCTTTTTTCTTCTTTTGTCCCAGGGCCTGCACATTTTTGGAGCGACAGGGAAATTTTGTACAATGCATACATGCACTTCTTTAATTCACACTGATGAAATAATATTCCTAAATATTACTATATATTCTTTTGGTATACTACATTTGTGAATGTTGAAATTTTTGAAGTTGAAATGCGTTTAATGCATTTGGGACTACCTTTGAATGCACCAGTAATACCAATGTCTCCAAATTCTGTAAAGGAGATCTAACATATGCTACTATATTCTTTTTGGTAATATTTACATTATAAATTGTACTTCTTTTGGTAAGAATCTGTTTATCGTGTATTTTAGATTTTAACTATTATTTTATATTTATATTGAGGACACATTGAGGACAGTATGCTGTCTGATAAACGTGTAGCCTGTATTTTCTCCTATTTTTGAATTATTTAATACATGATTGAAAGAGTTCCAGAGAATGTGTAGCATTTGACAAGTGTATTGTTTTATTAAAATTATTAATTATTTTTCACTTTAGAGGTATTTTATTAAATAAAATTAAAATACCTCCAGTAACGTTTCCTGGTGTGGTATGTTCAAAAACAAGTTCCTTGCTTCTTGAAAAATTATATAATTATATTGTAATATATAAATTATCCATTATACATAATATTATATAATATAAAATATGTTAGGAAAACTTTGTACAATGCATATATGCACTTTTTTAATTCACATTGATAAAATATTCTTAAATATTACTATATATTTTTTAT